AAAATAAATTGCAAAAGAATCTGATGCTCAGAAATAGAGTAATGATGTTTTTTCCTCATCAATACCAAAAATACTTGTAAAATTCCTAATAAATCACCTTCAGAAGCTTCTGAAAAATACTTCAAGGAATCAGAGCGACTTCAAACTTTCAGGATCTGATAATTAGAGTCTCTTTATCAAATAAAACAAATTGCAAAGGAATCTGAGGCTCAGAAATAGAGAATTGATTTTTGTTTTACATCAATACTAAAATTACTTGCAAAATTTCCTTTGAAAATTCCTGAAAAATACTTCAAGAAACCAGAGCGACTTCAAACTTTCAGGATCTGATAATTAGAGTCTCTTCATCAAATAAAATAAATTGCAAAAGAATCTGATGCTCAGAAATAGAGTAATGATGTTTTTTCCTCATCAATACCAAAAATACTTGTAAAATTCCTAATAAATCACCTTCAGAAGCTTCTAAAAAATACTTAAAGGAATCAGAGCGACTTCAAACTTTCAGGATCTGATAATTAGAGTCTCTTTATCAAATAAAACAAATTGCAAAGGAATCTGAGGCTCAGAAATAGAGCATTGATTTTTGTTTTACATCAATACTAAAATTACTTGCAAAATTCCCTTTGAAAATTTTTGAAAAATACTTCAAGAAACCAGAACGACTTCAAACTTTCAGGATCTAATAATTAGAGTCTCTTCATCAAATAAAATAAATTGCAAAAGAATCTGATGCTCAAAAATAGAGTAATGATGTTTTTTCCTCAACAATACCAAAAATACTTGTAAAATTCCTAATAAATCACCTTCAGAAGCTTCTGAAAAATACTTTAAGAAATCAGAGCGACTTCAAACTTTCAGGATCTGATAATTAGAGTCTCTTCATCAAATAAAATAAATTGCAAAGGAATCTGATGCTCAGAAATAGAGTAATCATGTTTTTTCCTCATCATTACCAAAAATACTTGTAAAATTCCTAATAAATCACCTTCAGAAGCTTCTAAAAAATACTTAAAGGAATCAGAGCTACTTCAAACTTTCAGAAACTGATAATTAATGTCTATTTATCGAATAAAATAAATTGCAAAAGAAGCTGATGCTCAGAAATAGAGTAATGATGTTTTTTCCTCATCAATACCAAAAATACTTGTAAAATTCCTAATAAATCACCTTCAGAAGCTTCTAAAAAATACTTAAAGGAATCAGAGCGACTTCAAACTTTCAGGATCTGATAATTAGAGTCTCTTTATCAAATAAAACAAATTGCAAAGGAATCTGAGGCTCAGAAATAGAGAATTGATTTTTGTTTTACATCAATACTAAAATTACTTGCAAAATTCCCTTTAAAATTTTTTGAAAAATACTTCAAGAAACCAGAACGACTTCAAACTTTCAGGATCTAATAATTAGAGTTTCTTTATCAAATAAAATAAATTGCAAAAGAATCTGATGCTCAGAAATAGAGTAATGATGTTTTTTCCTCATCAATACCAAAAATACTTGTAAAATTCTTAATAAATCACCTTCAGAAGCTTCTGAAAAATACTTCAAGGAATCAGAGCGACTTCAAACTTTCAGGATCTGATAATGAGAGTCTCTTTATCAAATAAAACAAATAGCAAAGGAATCTGAGGCTCAGAAATACAGAATGGATTTTTGTTTTACATCAATACTAAAATTACTTGCAAAATTCCCTTTGAAAATTTTTGAAAAATACTTCAAGAAACCAGAACGACTTCAAACTTTCAGGATCTAATAATTAGAGTTTCTTTATCAAATAAAATAAATTGCAAAAGAATCTGATGCTCAGAAATAGAGTAATGATGTTTTTTCCTCATCAATACCAAAAATACTTGTAAAATTCCTAATAAATCACCTTCAGAAGCTTCTAAAAAATACTTAAACGAATCAGAGCGACTTGAAACTTTCAGGATCTGATAACTAGAGTCTCTTTATCAAATAAAACAAATTGCAAAGGTATCTGAGGCTCAGAAATAGAGCATTGATTTTTTTCTTTGACAATACTGAAATTACTTGCAAAATTCTCTTTGAAAATTTCTGAAAAATACTTCATAAAACCAGAGCAATTTCAAACTTTCAGGATCTAACGAGGGATCTAATAACTAGAGTCTCTTCATCAAATAAAATAAATTGCAAAAGAATGTGAGGGTCAGAAATAGAATAATGATTTTTTTCCTAAAATTACTTGTGAAATTCCCTTTGAAAAAAATTTCTGAAAAATTTAGGAAACCAGAGTCTCTTCAAACTTTCAGAATCTGATAATTTATTGTATTTTTGTCAAATAAGACAACCTTATATCACAGATCCTCATACACCAATCAAATACTTACATTCTACATTTGTAAACAAGATTATATTTTCACTGACATTTCAATTTGACCATTTTCTCTTATTATGGTAATTTTCATTATGTGTTGTATGACATGTAGAAACATTTCTACGCCTCAAAACTCACCTACAATAGTTCTAGAACCAGATAGGTTCCATTTAGGTTTAGTCCAGAACCCAAGATTCAAAATCATGATTTTCTCTACATTCTATTTTTCGCCACCTTATCCTGTAAGAGGTTATTATGGCATTTGAAATTTTCTAAGGGCATTTTATATTGTGTTTAAATATTTTATAGGGCATGTGCTATCCAAAGCGTGAGTTTGAATGCATATTTTATTTATTGGGCCTCAAAGGAAATCTCACACAATGATTGAAAGTCCTGCAGGTTGAATTTAAATGTTAAGATTTCTCGAATCAAATCGATAAATTTTTGATTCAAATACATGTAAATCTTGATATTCATCCTCAACAAATCTGGTGCAATTTTCATACACAATCAATTGGGGCTTCCGAATCCCTAATAAAGACGCAATATTGGAGTAAAATTAGTCTGCATGTAAGTAAATGAGAAAAAAAGTTCTTTCATTTATTATTGATTCAAATTCCAAATGTCACAATATGCATATTATCAAATAAATTAATATTACACGTGTCTAACATTTATAATGATTTGTTTACTCCTTTGCAAAATGAGTTTATGCATTATAGGGACAGGAAACTACATTTATTAATAATTTGTTGTTGACTATTTGTTCCTAGAAATTTCAATAAACATATGGCTATTTTTTAGGAAAATTGTCTATAAGTACCTACCTATACCAAAGTAAATATAGACTGACTGAAATATGTATTTTAATTTTAAAGTGTGCATTACCTACTTCATTAAGTCTTGATGTTGACTTTTTAATAAGTCAATGGTAGGTTATGCCAATATTTACTTTTCTCATTGAGTTATGATTACATGTACCGAAAGCATAACAAAATTGAACTTTTATCCTTATTATCATGATAATCAGTTTTCAAGTATTACGATGCCGAAGTTGAAAAATGGAACTACCACAAGTAAATTGCTTAGAAAAAATCCCAGACATCTAAAAAAAAAAAAACTACTATTCAATTTAAATCTATTCAAAGTCTGAGACCCAATCGCTGTTTTCGTTTTTATTTCCAGTCTGGCTTCAGTAATCCTTTCCAGACTGATGATTACAATTTCCGAGATTTGATAGGCAAAATCTGTGGGAATCAATTATATAAAAGTCACGATTTAAAAAGTAATTGCTTTAGTTTATTGTAAATTGTTGGGCGCTTCGTCATTTGGTTTTCTTGGTAGAATAAGCATGACGAATTTTGATAAGAATTGGGTTTTTTTTACAGGTGGTATTCTTAAATAATTATTCATGTTTTTTTGATATATTTGCAATCAATATTCAGCTCAACACTCAGAAGTTGGATTTAAATTAAATCACGAAAAACCTGAAGAATGTTTAATATTGATAGAAACATTAGTGATGTAAGGTTAATCTAAGGCTAAGGCTGATCATTAAATTGAATGTCTGATGCGATCAAAAATGAAGATTTTGTATCTTCCTCTATTTATGCAATTTTTTGATTGAAAATGCTTTAAGGAAATAAGTTCTGGTTGAAGCAGAACTGATCAGCTCAAATCTGAGCCAGAAAAGAACAACTTAAGATCTGAAAACCTCAAAAACCTGACAGGATCTTGAAATTCTGAGAATCTTCTCTCAAAAAAACCATCAGGAATGGAATGCAGAATCAGGAAGTTAGTAAATCATTTGATTATTTGTGCAAAGTGTTTAAGGATCAGGGAATATTCAAAGTAATAACCCAGAATCCAGGAACCAACATTCTTAGGCTTTTTTCAAAGTTTGCTGAAATTACTATCTTAGATTCTCTGCAATAAACATTCGCAATTTGTTTTTTTTGGAGAAGAGTCAGGGAATTTGACACATCATGGCTTAGAATTCAGGATCTGAGATCTATAGTCCTCTGAAAAGAAAACTTAATATTTGCATAAGAACAATTCAGGAGGTCCTAAGAATCTGACAGGATCTAAAGATAGGAATCTTCTCTCAGACGAATCTAGGAATTGTGACTCAAAGTACCTACCTTGACATTGAATTGAATATCACGACGTCATTATGGTACTTACCATCTGAAAAAGTCTTTAAAATGTAGAAGCAACACGAATAAACCTTTTGATGATAGATAATCACGGAAAATATCAAAATTTCAGAAACAACACGCTTTAAGTATAAGTTTACAGTTGATAAAAATCTGAAGTGAATGGTTTTTGATGAAACTTATGATTTTGTCTGAATCCAATCAGTATTTTCACAAGTTTTGGTACGAGTGTGGTGGTTTTACATACCACGTCATACCACTCAATTATAGAGGCTGTTTTGGTATAGGTACCTACCTATGTCATTTTTTCACCGAGTATAATAATTGTTTGTCAATGTTCTATTCATGTTGGTGAGGTGGTATGGAGGTATCTGACTTGGTTTCAACCATTCATTGAGGGTTTCAACTGACATTATATTGACAGACCAAATAGTCCAACTGACTTTAACTCGATAAATCCAGCTTTAAGGTTTGAGTAATATTTGATCAATTTTTTTCATTGTTTCCAGGTGTGACGGGTCCGCATGGCCCGCGGTGTCGCCCGAGCGCCGTTCGCCATCAGCTGTCCCGCCTATCGCCATGGTGAAGACGTTCCAGGCGTACCTGCCGCCCCAGTGCCATCGCACTTATTCGTGCATCCACTGTCGCGCCCATCTAGCCAATCACGATGAACTTATCTCAAAGGTAAACCAATCAATCTTTGTTTGAAACATAGAAACTTATCTCAAGATTTGACAGCTAAAAGTTAGCAGCCAAACTGTCGATCATTGCCGATTGTGAGGGTGTATATTGGTACTGCCTATAACTTCCAGTACCATTTGTACCCGAGGCTATAGAGGAAATGTCCATATTTTCACTAAAACTCTTTTTTCGATGAATCGCAATTATCATTTTTAACCGAGGGGTTATTCACTAAGGGAAAAATGTGACAAAAGATTTCGGATTTAGAGCGATTTTGAGGGATTTCGGGTGATTTCGAAGGATTTCGGTAGGATTTTGGAAAGATTTTGATGGATTATTTATTGAGCGATTTTGAGGGATTTCGGGTGATTTCCAAGAATTTCTGGTGATTTCAGGTGATTTCGAAGGATTTCGGGTGATTTCGGAGAATTTCAGGTGATTTCGCAAATATTTTAATTTGATTCTAGACTGTTACTTATCTTATAAGTATACTCGAAAGTGTATTATTATAAACTGAAAAACGGCCGCGTTGACTGATTTATGAATTTTGTGCCAATTGCGAGGGATTTTTGGGTCTGCGGAAGCGGATAGATTTCTGAGGGATTTCGGAGTGATTTCGACGATTTCGTGGATTTCGGAAAGATTTCGTGGATTTCGGACGAATTTGTGACATGATTTTTTGGAAAAGTGATTAACCCCTCGCCGGTTTTAACCCCTTAAACCACCCTCAAAGTAATTTGCAAGTTAAGTGGGGTTCCCTAAACGGTGTATATTGGTACTGCCTATAAGTTCCAGTACCATTTGTACCCAAGACTAGGGTGGAAATATCCATATTTTCCCAAAAACCATTTTTTCGATTAATCGCAATTATTAGTTTTACCCCCTTAAACCACCCTCAAATTTATTTGCAAGTCTTTTTAATGGTGTATATTGGTATTACCTATATTTTCCAGTATAGTATTTCCAAAGTCAGCCACCAGTTATGATTTATGTTCACCTTGTTCCAATTGACTTTGGAAAACTATACCATTTGTGCATGGTGGACCGAATTTTGCCAAAACATGTTTATTATTCCCAATAATTTATTAGTTTTACCCCCCCAATTTATTATGATAAGTAATTAATATAAATAATAGTCTTGTGAGAAAAAGGATCATCGCAGGTACCTACACCCATATACATAGGTATTTAAAATTTTAGTTATAAAATAAAATAAATTTGATCACTGATCAATCGGCAATGTTTGGCACGAGGGGTTATTCACTAGGGGAAAAATGTGACAAGATTTCGGATTTAGAGCGATTTTGAGGGTTTCTGTAGGATTTCGGTAGGATTTTGGAAAGATTTCGAGGGATTATTCACTGTGACAAGATTTCAGATTTAGAGCGATTTAGCGATTTTGAGCGATTTCAGTTGATTTCGAAGGATTTCGGGTGATTTCGAAGGATTTCGGGTGATTTCGGAGAATTTCAGGTGATTTCACAAATAGACTGTTATAAGTATGTTCGAAACGAGGTTCGAAAGTGTATTAGTATAAACTGAAAAACAGCCGCGTTGACCGATTTATGAATTTTGGGCCAATTACGAGGAATTTTTGGGTCTGCTGAAAGATTTTTGAGAGATTTCGGAGGGATTTCGGCGAATTTCGGAGTGATTTCGTGGATTTCGGAAGGATTTCGGGGATTATTTCGGTAGGATTTCGGAAAGATTTCGGACGAATTTGTGACACGACTTCGGGGAGTGATTAACTCCTCGGTTTGGCAGTTTGGCTGCTAACTTTTAGCTGCACATCAGTCAAAGGGAAACTAATGATTAATCAATGTTTCTTTGCAATTAATTTCCTCTGATTGCTTACAAAGCGTCATTTGTAAAAAAGACAAAATGTTTCTTATATCATCAGACGCTAGCCAAACGTCCAATTGATGTTTATGCTATCCAATTCCGATTCATTTTCTGGAATTTTTGTAGTGAGCTTCAGAATTCTTCGCCAAATAACATTTTCTAGACGCAAGTACTTACTTAAGTCGGATTGACACGGTTCAAGTTCTCTGTCTAAGTGTGCTTGGATGACAACTTGGACCAAGTAAGTTGGCAGTCAGCCTACTCAGGCCTGGTTGACATGGTCCAAGTACAATGTTCCTGAAGTTAATAGGTTGCCTGGTAATAGGTTTGTTGATGACGCGTCGGGGGTGTCTCATGGAGATTTGCATTATGTTGAGGCACCCCAGATGAGGTCATAAAGTTATCAGGCAACCTAGCTCTCTGAAACAACTTTAGTCCAAGTGTACTTGGTTCGATCTGACTACTGAATTCAAGTCCAGTTGGATAGGTCCTAACATCCAAGTAAATAGGCCCAAGCAGCACTCCCATGTTGGGCCAATATTGGGACAATAACTACGATTTATTGGCCCAAGTCAGATTCTCTATGTTGGCCCAATAAAAGATGTGGACATTCTGCAATATTTGTCCAAGAACGTATGTCAATATATACCCAAAAACAAATACCAACGTTGGTAGAATTACGTAACCAAATGTTGGCCCAAAAAGACATAATCAATATCATATCAAGAACTTTATGCAATATAGAGCCAATTGAAATTACCAATATTGGCCCGAAGAAGTATGTAAATCTTGGCTTTATATTATATTTAACTAGCTGACCTGGCGAACTTCGTACCACCTCTGAATTATTAAATATACCTATTAAATGTTGTGTTAACGTATCTATTAGCTTAATTAAATTCAGTTTTTTTCGATGGTGAATTTGGCTTTGGTTGAAGAAAATTAATGTTTACTCTCTGGATCAGAAGTCACCTAAAATTAAAATTTTACATCATCCTTTTTTAGGCAGCTTGTGGGCATTATTCTTGTAAAGTGTACCATCAAATAAATAAACTCAGGCACAGGAATGTTCAAAGAATGTGAAGAAAACAAAAAAAATCTCTAGCGCAGCCCTGTATCACTCTATCTGCATTGCATGCACTGCACTACTCCATCTGTTCTACTCTATCTGCACTACTCTATCTGATCTACTCTTTCTGCACCACTCTATCTGATCGGAATAGTGGAATAGTTCTGTTCGAAATAGCTCCAGTTCCTGACCAGCATTGTTCTACTGTATCTGCAATGCCGAGCTTCGTTCCAGGTATCAGAGACGGTGCGGTATACAAAATACAAAATAAACTTGGTATCGGTTATAAGAGATGGCGCCGTATGCGGGCTTAGTAAATTTTTTTCATAAATAAATGAAATAAGTAATGAAATGACCACATTAATGACATAACAACATGCTGGTACTGTCAACGCTGAAAAAAGTTTCAATTTGACAGCAAAATCCCCATTAACAAAATGATCCTCCATTTATTGAATAATTCTTTTATTACAAAAAATGTGATAAATGAAGAACCGCTCGACCGATTTTGTGCAAACTTCACATAAACCATCTAATAAATAGTCCGAACAAAGCCTAAACATTTGGTTTGGCTAGGTGAGCCCGTTCTTGAGTTATAAAATTACAACGAAAAGTGGCATTCATTTTTATATATATAGATTAAGGTAACGGACCAATTATAAGGACCGACTAAGAAGTGTTTTCTCTCTGCCAGACCATCCGTGGACCCGTTTCGCTGTATCACAACCCATCAGCACGGTTAAGTCCCGCCAGGGTCCCGCAGAGAGAAAACAACCAATTTTTGGCTTCATTCCGGAACCAGGTTTAAGACTGGTAAAGTGAAGACAGAGTCTCCATCTATTTTTTGGTCGGCACACCAAGTGCGCACATTGAATACCCTATATTAGACCAACATTTTCAATTCAGAAAATCTAACCTTGTTAAAAATTAGTATGTAAATATTGGCCCTTCATTGGACTTTTCAAAAAGTATCAATATTGTGAAAAAATTGAAAATAAAATTATGGGTGTACAAAGTTTTTGAAGTGAATTTAAATATCGATAAAAAATTGAATATTGAATTAATATTATATTACAATATTGTTTTGATAATATAAAATGTAATATTTGGCCAATATTTCATAAATCAATATTGTAGTGAGAAGTCTTGGGCCAATATTCAAATTACTGTAAAGTTAATTAATCCATGAAAACAATATTGGTACAAGATTATTTTTAAATATTGTTTCCACTTAGTTAAAACTAACGTTGCCCCAATATTGGTGCTGTGTTGATTTAGCAACAAAAATGAATAAATATTGGCCCAACTGAAAAACGATGTTTACCCCATATTATGTGCTACTTGGGGGCTGGCTGCCAAGTTACTTAGTCTAAGTTTCTGGCTTAATCATTAATAATATAGTCAATTCTCTGAGTCCAGATCAATGCAAAATATCTATCATCCTTGACTTTAATCAAATTGCAAATAATTTGCATATTTAAAATCGCCCCATAAATATACTCATCGAAATGGGAATTAGTTAGATAAAGCCTCGTCTCGCATTTAATCTCCCGGGGTCCATCAGTAAATTCTAATTAAGTCGACAATGTTCGGTTTGTCCAGGAAAGAAATCTCGTATCCTGCCTGAATGCAGCTTCCGATTAAAGGCTGAAACATTATTGCCAATTCTAAACAATCACACATTTTAATTTGAAAATAGTAGATACTTTTTCTTTGCCTACCATATTTAAAAATAAAAACGATTTTACGCTTTATACTCACCACCCTGGAATTAACTTTCATTATTCACTATATTTCCTGAGTAATTAAATTAGAAGAATAATGATAACAACAACCTACGTGCATTTATGCACGCATGCAACCCAACAATACCGACACAATTTCCGTTTAATCCATTAATAATTTTTTCCACAGAAAATTAAGTTTTCTTCTTTTTTTTTTTCAATTTCAGTCATTCCAAGGCTCCCAGGGTCGAGCGTATTTATTCAATTCAGTGTAAGTATGTCTTTTCTTTTAATTTTAACACTCAGATAATGTATAACAAAGGAAACGAGATACAAAGTAATAATGCAATGTGGCCTGGTTTAGATTTTCCAACCTAAATAGCTCCCTTTTGTTCTGATAGAAATAGGTATAAAACTATAAAAATTATACATGAAGAATAGGTTGAAAATAATGGCCTTTTGTTTTAATTTTTTTAGAGTTAACGTTGGATGCGGTCCAGCTGAAGAAAGAGTTCTACTGACAGGATTGCACGCTGTAGCTGACATATACTGTGAATGTTGTAAAACTACTTTAGGGTGGAAATATGTAAGTATGTTCAATGAATATCTAATTCTGTAGTTTTTGAGCAAAACTGAATTAATTTGTCTCAACATAACAATATATGGGATGTAAAAAGGCTTGGAAGAGTAGTAAAAAAGTCCATTCAGACTGATAAGGGGTTTTCATTCGGGCTTAATGGCCATCGTAAGTTGTAATTTCTTCCTGACGTTCCGTTAGCATCTTCAGAGGTGCTTCCATGTCCGATTCTGGTAGCAGACTGACGCGTTCCCGACCTTCTCCGAGAACGAATCCACGAAACAAGGAAGGATCTGGCTGAAAGTAGATAGAGAACTACCTACTTCACCTACATCTGACACTGAGCAACAGACTGCAGGCAGAGGATTGGAACAAAATTGATACCATCTCATATTCAAGTACCTATGGATAATGAGCTAAACCAAACCGGAGTAAAAAAAGCCCAGATTCGAAAATACGAGAAGTTATGTAAGAAACAAATCCGAAATTCCCCAATTATGCATAGGCGCTGGAACCATGGGGGCAATAGGGGCAATAGGGGCAATAGGGGCAATAGGGGCAATAGGGGCAATAGGGGCAATAGGGGCAATAGGGGCAATAGGGGCAATAGGGGTAATAGGGGCAGTAGGGGCAATAGGGGCAATAGGGGCAATAGGGGCTTGAGCCCCTGTAGCGAATTTGCTATGGGGGCGAAGCCCCCATAGTGATTTTGGTATTATATGTAGTGGGTGTAGTGAGTAGGTACAAAAATATTGAATTCCTGATCCTAACATGTATTTATTTTTATATATCAAACTTGTGTGTTTTATGTTTTTATTGTTTTTGCTATACTCACTTTGACAAACAGTTTGAATATTTTTTCTATTATTATAGTAAAGTAAATTTTAGGGGCCTTAATACAAAAAGCTTAGATGACAAATACCCATTACGCAACATAACGGATCTCTTGAAGAAGCTGGGACGCTGCCAGTATTTCACCACCTTAGATTTGGCTAGGGGCTTCCATCAGATCCAGATGCATAAAAACGACATCGAAAAAACCGCATTCAGCACAGAAAACGGGCATTATGAGTTCTTGCGCATGCCTTTTGGTTTGAAGAACGCGCCGGCTACATTCCAAATGGATGATATTCTATATCCCAATATATTGAGCAACTTTAACACCGAAAGATAGAACATCCCATCATTAATAGTTATTCATTATAAGTACAAGGGAAAAAAGTATTAGATTCTAGAGTGAGATGTGGTTTGCCTCTTGTCGCAAAGCGGAGGGAGACAACAACAAGGTGGCCAAAAAGCGCTGGGAATGCTGGAGGTGAAACAGGGGAAATCGTTATCTGCCGTTCTCTATTCAACCTTAGAGTATTTCTAGGCATTTCATTGTATTGCATTAAAATTGGCCTGTTTTGACCTGTCAAACTTGTATATGGGTAGTTCATTTTTTGGTCATTAGCTTATTTATAAGTCTGTTTCGTGTCATAAGTTGAGTTTTTTTCAATTGCGAGGCATCATAGCAAGGGAGTGTGTTGATTTCAGTCCATATTATTAACGTTCTACTATAAATTTTCATCAAAATTTGTTGAAATAGCCGCATTCCGCTTGCCCTCATCATTAGAAGTCCCAAAACTACCGTGAAAAGACCCAAAAATTTCGCAGCTGCGGCGCTTTACTTCCTGCAGCGCTTGCGGCGAAATTGCTACTGCTGTAAGGATCACTCCCTGCAAATTTGCCCTCCCCGTTCCAAGACCAAATCCTAACTACGCCAATGGTGCTGTCGAAGCCGAGTATAGCCGAGCTGCCGAAGAAGTACGAATTTCAATAATATGAAGGAACCTGCGGGGAAGATCAATGATCCAGCGTGCATGGCGATCCTGCAGTGAAATGGGTATCTGTCAACTGGTCCCATTTAAGTCTATGTGTCTAGTAGCTTAGTCCTGTCTGTCTAATTATTTTTACTTAGGCTTGTTAATTTTTGAAGCCCAAGCCCCCATGGTAATTTTGAAATTTCGGCGCTTATGCAATTAGGAACCTGAATTCAGTGGAAGATATGATCATCCCACCTGTGGATAAGGGCAACTGTCCTATTAAGAACTGAAGACTACAACTGGAAAATTCAGGAACTCCTTGATCCATCTACCTACCGGAAGCTAAAGAAGGATCCCACACAAGCCACACTCCGGAATACCAACAAACTGATTAGGCCATCTACCCTAACAGACACGGTTAAGAAAGTCATCATAAAAACAGAAGTAGTTCCACCACGACTCTACGGCCTATATCCAAAATTCACAAACCGGAAGTCCCGCTAAGATCTATAGTGAGTGCACCTGGAGCACCAACGTACAACCTAGTGAAACATCTTGCATCGCTTCTTCAACCGCATGTAGGATAAACTAGCTCTTACGTCACTTTTTCCGGAAAATTAAGAATATTATTCTTCAACCTAACGATATCCTTGTCAGCTTTGATGTTATGTCCCTATTAACAAAAGTGTCTCTTGACTTGATATCAAGTACCTTCCCCAATGACATAGTTGAGTTTTTCTGGACATGGTAGTTACTTCCTGTGGAACGGCGATTTCTACGAGCAAACGGACGATGTAGCTTCTTAGATGTGCTCATAAAGAAATCTGGAGGAAAACTGAGCCACACGGTCTACCGAAAACCTACACACACAGGTACCTACTCTACAGACAGTGTCAAAACATCATGTTGGCTGTCTGCCGCTGATCCCTGCTGATATCTGCGCCAGAGATAAAGAAGAGCTCTCTCATCACTTTTCTCAACAGAAGTAGAAGTATGGCGACACTCTTATTCTGCATTTGGATCGCGTATTTGCTGGAAATACTTTATGTGGGTCCCCTAGCTATTGGGATCGACTTGAGCGGCCAGCTGACGAGCCTCCCTAGTATTGTTACTGCGAGCTATCCTGGCGGGGCACGAAGAACGAAGAGAGAGAGCCAACGGACTTATCTTTCAAGCTCGAAATCAGGTTTTCGGAAAACCATAGTTTGTGTCCTAGGGGAGTACTTTTCATTGAAAAAAAATACCCGGACCAGCTTATCATTAGACGACCAACAGCATCGCAGTTCAGAAGATGGATAGGTGTTTCTTCTCCATCTTCACAGAATCCACAATTACCTACCACTTTCTGTCAAGCTCAATTTCCGTAGGTGTTCCCTAAGTCTGAATCTCGAGAGAAACCTGGTAAGAGTGTAAACTACCATCAAAGGCAAAAATGTGGAAATATAACAACGTTAACAGAACCAGCTCGGAACATCTGCGAGCCACAATATCTCGAGCAAGAACTGGATCATCTCAGTCGGTCTTTTTATCAAATGGTTAAAATGCATCTGAAATCGACAGGACCATGCAACCCAAAACTGCCACACGACAAAACGTGGTGGCTAATGCAAATCTGCCTTTCATTTCTCGGGTGACAGACACGATAGAGAAAGTCTTGAAGAAACCCAACATAAAAACAATCTTCAAGCCAACAAGGAGAATACAGCATTCAATCAGATCAACCAAGGATAAGAAGAACCCACTCTCAAGCGCTGGAGTCTATCGTATACCATGTACATAGGCGCCGACTCCATGGGTGCAATAGGTGCGCAAGCACCCATACTGAATATATTATGGGTGCGGAGCACCCATACGAAAAATTTCAATTGTGTTGTTTCCCTAGTTAAGTTAATGAAAAAATCAACAAAAGCTATTATTCAAAAATTAGCAGTTTTATCGGTACCACAAGGACAATAATATCTCTGTTTCCACAAAAATCACATACCAGTCATAACGTTTTTGATTGGTCCAATCAGTTTCTTGACTATTTTCAAGTTAACTAATGAAATTCGCTCCTGACTAGTTAGTGATTTCTCTGAAAACAAAGCTAAAATGACACCGACTATGCGTTTAGATCTAATTTGCTGCGGCGGATGCATTGTGACGTGCAACCATTTGAACGTGAAACGGATTTACTTTTGGATCAACTATAAGATATAATTGTTATTACTACCATTATTACTAATCACTGTGACTGCTAAATTTATTCGCTGTGCGATACACCCCTATGCAGGGTGATTTACGTAGGCCGTTCATTAGATTGCAGGTGGATTAGATGCTATCTCTACTAATCCATCTGCAATCCAATAGAATTCTAATGCACGGGCTACGTCAATCACAGTGTATAGACGGAATCGCAACATTTTGCAACTCTCTATTGTCATGGTTCCGCGCCGGTCCGATCCAAGGGTCCGATCTACGACCGCTGCGATAACGCAATCAGCGCTCACAATAGGGCTTTTCAAAAACGCTGTTCCGATTAACCCGTTCACCAGCTTTTTGTTTTTCATCTTTCTTCAAAGAACGCGATTGGAAAAAAGAAAACTATCACATCAGTTGGTGATCGGGTAATCGCAACACCGTTTCCGGACCTTGATTCGAAAAATACTGACAGATGAGCAATCCTGTGTAGTGTTAACAAACTTTGGTATCTTGGATCCGATCCAAGAGGTCCAATCAGCGAGTCGAGTTGCTGTTTCATATCGGCAATGGGTGCGCTGTTCGGTGTGGCGCCCTTTACATTTCTGGGAATCCCAGTCCCCAGTTAACTGACTGGGGACTGGGATTGGGACTGGGAACTGAGATGTCTGAACTCAGCTAATTCAATTAGATGTCTAGCCGTCTTTGGATGTTTGGAGCTTGAAACTTCTATTTAAGATGTGTTATCATTTATCAATAGTCAAGTGTTTCTCTGACTTAGGAAATTTTCCGGTAGATTAACGGTTCGAAAGCTTGGAATCATTTTTGGGATTGGCACCAAAAAAAAAAAATGGGAAAAAACCTTTAGCTATTTTATGCCGGCTTTGGCTAAGCATCCATACAGATTCCAGAAAGCCGGCGCCTATGACCATGTACATGTGGTAAGGTAATATATAGGAACGACAAAAAGATCCATGGGAACCAGGATAAACGAACACAAAAGGAACTGCAGACTAGTGCAGACTAGGACAATTGGAAAAATTGACAGTTGCGGAACACGCGCTTAGTGAAGATAATCATGAAATATTCTTTGGTGAGGTCAAGCTTCTTGCACCGACTTCCGGATACCACAATCGTCTTGTACGTGAAGCTATAGAAATCCACAAATATACGTAGAACTTCAACAGGAAAGAAGAAACACTAAAATTTAACCAAATCCGGAACCCGAGCCCCAAAAACGCAAGAAAGATCCCAGATCCCATTGAGTACAGAGAAAGTTGAGATTAGCCAAGTGCCGCGAAGCCCCGCCCCTCCCCCACCACAGCCACTCACACATAATTACAAGTTATGTCGGAAACGCATCAGTCTGCTACCAGAATCAAACATGGAAGTATCTCTGAAGATGTTTGCCACACGTCAGGAAGAAATTCCAACTTACGACGGCCATTAAGCCCGAATGAAAACCCCCTATCAATACACTTTGGCCGCGAAAGCCTCACAAACTTCATCTATTTAGACTATTAAAAAAAGCATCGAATAATGATATAACCAACTTTTTTTTTCAGGAGCATGCATTCGAATCGAGCCAGAAATACAAAGAAGGCAAGTTCATCATCGAACTGGCCCATATGATCAAAGAGAATGGATGGGACTGACAGTACGAATAGTGGTACCGTCACAATGTACAGCGCCACCTGTAATAGACTCGCGCTAAATGCGAATTTTTGTTTTTTGGACTGGACCTAGGAAAGAATCTTTTTTTTTTTAAAACCTTTTCAAGTGAGAACAAAAAGACTAAATCAAAGACACTTTATCGTGCAAAGTGGATATATGACGTCAAATCGTAAACAGTTTTTTTAGGGAAGTATGGGGTTTTAGTGGGCGATTCCAATTGTCAGTCAATAAAAACTTTTTAGGTTTGATTGTCCCCTGTAGCAATTCGCCATTTTATTTTTTTCCCCCCAGCTATGTATTCAAATTATATACAGACTAGGTACCTTGTTGCTACACTTTTTTGAAATGTTTCATTTCATTTTTCTGTATAGAATGGGAACAATAAATGCATGCAACGTATGTATCGTATAAAAACTAAGTGCAGAACTTGAGACACATCACATAGGAAATTAGAAAGTATTTTTTATAAGGCTGAAAATTTTACTATTGATTGCGGAGGTTAAAATTTTTCGTAAATATTCATTTTTATTCTTAGACAAAAGAAGCTCAAAATTTATCGAAAAACATAATATTTTTATACTGGACTCTGCAAAAAAAAAGAAAATCAAATATTTTATTAAAGACGCTGTGATGTTTCTTAATTAATGCAAAAGGAGACTTTGTAAAGTAGATTTAGAACGTGAACTTGAGCTCTGGAAGCACTCTGTGTTAAGAACGAATTTTGTCTGTGTTAATGTCTGTGGTACAAATGAAAGAATCTTGATTTTGTTTTGTAATTACCACTTGTCGCGCTTCGAAAAAAGGTTTTGCATAGATACGGAATGTGTAATTTTTATAAATGTTGATGTATATTATGAGAAATTGTTAGTGGAACAGCAAGAATTTGAATACACTCATAGTTCAATATAAATGTAGGTATTATTAGTGGAGTGCAATTATGTTTGAATCTTGAAACCCAGTTAGACTTTCCACATAGATCCAGAATAGATTCTCAAACACAAGATTTTCACCTCAATAGTGTCTTATTGTGTTTTAGTTACCATTACATACAAGTTTGTGTGTAAAACTTCTTACTACACTCGTAGGTAATAAGTAATAATACACAAACAGCACTAGTTAAAAGTAAAATGTTTTAAATTGGTATAACTGGGTTTCTCTATGTCTAATTCTGCACTACATTAAAAATTTAATGAGCTCACTTGACGGTTTTGGTTTGTTTTAATGAAATAAGGCCCTTAACAAAAATTAGTGTCCTATTTATACTTGATCTCTTGCGTTAATAATTTTTCTTTCGCCAATAAAAATTATACACTTCATAATAAACTTAATTGTAATCGCATAATTATATTCAAATATTTTTGTATTTAACGTAATAATCGATATTGTAATGATAAAAATTGTAATCGCATTAATTATAATATAGGGACTTTTGTCTCAATGAAAACAACAATATTGTAGTGTATAAGTTTGTTTATTTGTGATAGTCTTTTTGTGATATGTTTTTCGTGAATGGGAAAAATTGCATTAAATTCTCAACTCAAGCCCTTTTTTAGTGTTTTAACTTTTAAAGGAATGCGTATAATAATTAATGTAATTTTTCTTTTAGTTTAATTTTAATTTAGATTTGTTCCAACTTTGTTGAATAATAATATTCTACAAGTTTGGAACATACTAATTTTTTAAGTAAAAAGAAAAATGTTAGGCGTTATAGGCATCACGCGTACGTCACTCACACACGGTTTTCATAATCATACTGCCAGTAGGTGTTTAGATATTATGGTGTCATACGTAAGAATTATCCCATTTTTTTTAGGGCTGTTGGATCAGCGACTTGTTAACTAACCAAATGTTTAACAAGTCATCGATCTAGGCTTCAGTTTTTTCATTGATTGAGGAAACTGGCCTTAAACTAATTATATATTTATGATAAATAATACTTTTGTTTTGTTAAAAATAAGTATTTAGCGGTTAAGAGTGTTTTTATTTTATTTTGTAAAACCTATGGTTTCTTTTTTTAAAATTTTTAGTTTATTGAATTAATAAACTTGTAATTAAATAACATATTTGGTATTTGGTTGTGTTTCAAAAGACTCCTTCTAGAGTTATAGACTGGTGGACATTTCCAGAAATCATACTCTATTTTACTCCGAGCAGCATTTCGTGCGACATTCAAAAACTTGAAGTTTATAGGGTATTTCGACCCCGCTGAATCCGAATCCAGATGTTGCTAAGCCGAATTTTGCCTCCAAAGGCCTCAAATCCAAGATTGCGACCAAACTAAGAGCCTAATTGACATTTTTCTTAAACTGTATAGTGTATCATTATTGACCGGCAAGATGTCGTTTCATATGTTTTTGGGGTCGCTGAACATGAATATGAGTACCGGAAGTCGATTCGGATACCGGAAGTACCATAATTCAAGATGACGGCCGTCGGGGGCCTAAATACAGAACTTTCAGAAGTTGGCATAATGTCAAATGCGGCGTATCGGCACATATGTTTTTGACGTCGACTAGATCAAAAATTAGCACCAGAAATTGATTAGGCAACCGGAAGTACCGTAATCCAAGATGGCGGCCGGTTGGGGTCTAAATAGCAAACTTTGAAAAGTTGCTATAATATGACGTGCTGGGTATGACCACATATGCTTTGGAGGTCGCTGAACACGAATTTGAGGTCGGAAAAGCGATAGGAAACAGGTTAACACAGGTTTGCGGAAATAAAATAGTACAACTATACTTTTGACGGGTAAATAAAATGCACAAAACGTTTTACATGAATACATTTATCACTGTCATTGTTGTTTTCGCAGTGCCTGCTATGGTTACCTGTCAAAAACTACGTTAACCTGTGTTAACATGTTTCCTATCGCTTTTCCGATCTCAAATTCTTGTTCAGCGACCTCCAAAACACTTGTGGCATATGCGCAACTAGGGGGGTGCTAAGCACTCCTAAAGCAAAAATTAGCACTCCCATTCGGCATCCCACCATAGTACTACCTACAGTGGCACTACCAACACTAATATAAAAAATTAGTGCAACCAAATTATTTATTTTTTTTGCACTTTTTGTACTTACTTACGTCATCGATGACGTCATAATTTAGAAAAAAGTATTTTTCGTTGATTAATTCATAGAGCACGTTCGCAATTATTATTGTTATGGAATAAAATTTTTCAACCGGTGCCGGTATTACAATATTACCTTAAAATCAAGACTTACCCTAAAATATATGGTTTTTATATATTTAGGATGACGTCATCGAACAAGGTCAGACAATGTTGTCAATGTCTATATCTTAAGGTGACATTGAAATACCGGCCTTAAAAAAATCATTGGAGTCCCAAATATATAAATTAATTATAACTGCGTATATTATACAGGGTGTTCCTAAATATCATGTACAAACGACAAAGGGTGATTCTTTGTTTTTTATTTTTAAGACTGAAATCTCCAATATGTTTTAAAAAATTGACTTATTCAAGCAAAATTGAAAAAAAGTCACCCTCTGATATTTTAATTTTTTTCTGGAAAACTTGGAAAGGGAAAATTTTGAAAATTTCCCCAGATTTTACGAAAATTTCAATATTTTCCAGTAAAAAATCACTGCAGGAAAAACTTTGAAAAACTAACTTTTTTAAGCAAAATTAAGGAGAATTCACTCTCTTAAATTTTAATTCTTTTCTTGGAATCTGGCTAAGGGAAAATTATGCAATTTTTCCAAAAGAAAGAGAAAAGTGAGGAGCTCATTATGGGAAAATTTCAAAATTTTCCAGTGGAAAATCACTTCAGGAAAAATTCTGGGAAATTGACTTTTTTAGGCAAAATTCACCCTCTTGCATTTTATTTTTTTTCTGGGAAACTGGCAAAAGGAAAATTGTGAAAATTTTTCAGAAAAAAGAGGAAAGTGAAGAGCTTATTATAGCAAAATTTTAAAATTTTCCAATAAAAAATCACTCCATAAAAAATTCTGGAAAATTGACTTATTTAAGCAAAATTAAAGAAAATTCACCTTATATTTTAATTTTTTTTTTTGAAAACTGGCAAACAAGGGAAATTTCGAAATTTTCCAGTGAGGCATCACTCTAGGGAAAATTCTGGAAAATTGCCTTTTTCAAGTAAAATTGAGGCAAATTCATCTTCTCACATTTCAATTTTTTTCTGGAAAACTGGCAAAAGAGGAAAAAGAGGAAAGTCAGTAGCTTATTATAAGAAAATTTCAAAATTTTCCAATGGAAAATCGCTTCAGGAAAAATTCTGAAAAAATTACTTTTTCAAGTAAAATCAAGAAAAACTCAGCCTCTCACATTTCAATTTATTTCTGGAAAACTAATAAAGCAAAACTTGTGAAATTTTTTCAGGAGAAAGAAGAAAATGAGGAGCTCATTATAGGAAAATTTCAAAAACTTTCTAGTGAAAAATCACGCCAAGGAAAGTCAAGAGGAAAGTTTTGGAAAATTAACTTTATTTAAATTTTTTCTTGGAAAACTGGCAAAGGGAAAATTTTTAACATGTTCCAGGAAAAAGAGAAAAGTGAGGAGCTCATTATTATAGGGAAATTTCAAAATTTTCTAGTTAAAAATCACTTCAGGAGAAATTTATTTATATATTTTCGGCTAACTGAATAAACTCTATTCTAAGTTAAAAAATGTATTACAAAACAGTAACTCCGAAGGTGCTCTATGAATTAATCACTTAACTTTTTGTCTAAGTTATGACGTCATCGATGACGTAACTAAAAACCTTCGTGCCGTGTAACGAACTATATGTTTGTTTGAAATTTCAGACATAAAAAAAAGGCAAATGATGACGTAAGTACAAACCCTCGTGAAACTAACTTTTTTTTACGCATCTCATTTCCTTTCTTTCAAAAAAAAAAAAATTGCATATACAGCGTAGTTGCGTTTATGCTTGTGGTCATACCCAGCACGTCATATTATAGCAACTTTTTAAAGTTTGGTATTTGGGCGCCAACCGGTTGCCATCTTGGATCATTGGATCACACGGTACCTATTTCCAGTTGCCTAATCGATTTCTGGTGGTAATTTTTGATCTAGTCGACGTCAAAAACATATGTGCCGATATGCCGCACTTGCTAATATTCCAACTTCTGAAAGTTCCTTTTAGGACCCCGACGTACGGTCGCCATCTTGAATAACGGTACTTCCGGTATCCGAATTGACTTCCGGTACCTACTCATATTCATGTTCGGCGACCCCAAAAACATATGAAACGACATCTCGCCGGTCAATAACGATACATGCTGTGGATACATTTTAAGAAAAATGTCATCCAGGCCTTTAGTTTGGCCGCCATCTTCGATATGAGGCATTTGGAGGCAAAATTCGGCTTAGCAACATCCGGATTCGGATTCAGCGGGGTCGAAATACCCTTGAAACGTCAAGTTGCCGAATGTTACACGAAATACCGCTCGGAGGAAAATTTCTGAAAATGTCCACCAGTCTATTAGGACACCTTTGGAAAACGTTTGCTTTTCTCATATTTCAACGCAATCAGACTCTAATTAAAGCCAATTAAATTCTCAAATCCATTAATTAAGAGTTAAATTTGATTTCAATAGTTTTACACCTGCGAAACTTCAAAATTAAATTTATTGAACATTGAAAATTTGTCAAAAATGACACTGAGACAGTTTTTGCCTCACAGCTCCGTTAATTTTCATCTGATTTCAGTGTAATCAAGCTTTAGTTAAAGCCAATTAAATTCTCTAGAAACCTACCTGCTAGAAACCCATCAATTTAAATTTGAATGTGGTTCCAACCAACAGTGTTGCAGCTGAGAAACTTCAAAATTGAAGTTCTCGAACATTGAACATCTTCCAAAAGCAGCTGAAAATTGAATTTATTGAGTTACACATTGGAAAGTTGCCTTTACCATGCAAATGTCTCTATTAGTTCCGCACTAATAAAAAAAAATACCAAAAGTTAATTTAAAATTTATTTTGATCAATTTTTTGTTACATTCACTCAAAGTAGGGGGGCTGGCTTCAAAACTGATAAAACAAACCAATGAAAATTGAAGAAAAAAAAACTAAACAAAACAATACAATACAATTTTGCTTTTACGCCCGGTTTGTTTCAGTCAATTTTGCCTCCGCCATATTATCATTTTATTAAAAATTATTCTGCCGGCACTTTCCATTTCAATTGCTCGCCCACCTCGTACAATTCGGCCAGAGCCTCGCCAACTTTGTCCAATTCTTCCAACTCCAAGTATTTTTTGTAAAGTTGCAACGCTGCTCTGGCATCTTCAATAGAATCGTGTGTTTCTGATTGAATTTTTATACCTATAAGTTGTCAATTTGTAAGTGAATTTTGAGATTTATACATGTTTTACTTGCCTAAAAAGTGCCAAGCTAAGAATCTTAAGGAAACCATACGGTGATGCCTTAAATGGAACAATTGGACAGTGTCTACAATTTGATCGGATGGGACTACTAAGTTGATTACTCTGGAAAATAATTTAGTATTAGAAAGATTTAGGCTTCAAAAACTATTTACCTGAAATCGTTTTTCAGTCCATGCCCTACAAACACAACGCCACTGTCTTGTAAAAATCTCAACTTAATATAAGTTGACTTTAGAGTGGTCAAATGTTTCGAGCTAAAGTTGGCGTCCAAATCTCCTGGTTTAATTCCGGAAAACTTAGTGAGATAATCTACTACTTGTTCCTGAGTGGAAATGTAATCGTCTATAAAAGGACTACCTTCACCAGCACCTTGACTAAAGAAATTTTAGGATAAGTAAATATTATTTGGACAAACAAAATTCTTACCCTCTAATACAAGTTATCCTTGCTACAGACATCTGAGAAGGCTTAACAGTGGACATTTTACCATCGCTGCGCAATTCGGCTTCCTCCTGATTCAATGTGACAAATTCAGCATCCATTGCAACCAAATCTCCAGCTTTTAGTACTTCGTTGTCGTTTAGAGGTGTGAAAGTGATGCCTCTAGTACCACCCGATCTGGCAAGGCAGTTATCCTCATTGAAAACTTCCTAAATAATTGGCAAACTACAATTGAGTTTATTTTTTGAATTATAAGCTTACTCTTGACAAGGGATGATAAATTTCAGTTTTCGCTTCAGCTAGATCAGTGCAAGAGTAAAATAATACGCATGGGATTTTCCAGTCTAAACTGAACCAAACTGCTTCTTGTGCAGGGACTGGACAAATACTATTAAAAATGTTAATATATAATAAGTATGTATTTAGCCAGTCCTAGTTAGTTACCTACCTAAAATCATTAAACAAATACCACTTATGTTCGTTGACTTCCTTGTTTTTCAAATACAAATCTGGTACTTTGATTAGGGCAACAAGATTCTTTTTATCAGAAGTGTTTTGATCGTTTACGTAACAAACTACAGCGGAAAGTTCGTACTCTTTGCTTTCCTGTATTATAGCACCATTCGAGTTTTTAGTTTGTGTGTCATCTTGGTCGAGTTCGACTTCTTCTGGGGTACCATTTTTCTGCAATAGAATAGTCAGTAGTGAATGTAAAGATTTGGAGGGAGATTCAACTGAGAACCTGAGGATAATCTATATAACAGTATTTCGATGAATCGCAATTATTAGTTCTACCCCCTTAAACGACCCTCAAAGTAATTTGTAAATTAAATGAGGTTTCCCATGATATTTGGCACTATGGTAGGAATGAGTGGGTTTCTAATACAAAAAGCTCAAAGCCCACTAGTATTTTATTAATATTAATGGTGGGTTTTTGTGTATGCCAACCCTGTAATCAAGGAAGTACAAATCAATTTTGTCCTTAAGTGATGCAAGACCTTGGACATGTTCCAGTTTATTCATCATATCAAAGAATATAATAGACTACGTCTCGTTAGTCTATAATATTCTTTGATCATATAAAGCTTATAAGGACAATATTATACAAACCATTTCTCAGATAATAGGTATGGTAAGTTTTAAAATGAATACCAAATGTGCTAAAAATTCTTACCGGTTCACTACCAGCATCCATCTTAACAATTTCCAACTTTGAATCGGAAATGGACATCTTAATGTTGTGTGGCAACCAATTGTTGCTGCAATAAGGGTTGTTCACTGGCACCGGTGGGGGTGTATTATCAAAACTGTGCCGGAATCTACAACCTGGACGCGAACAATGATCGCCATAACGACAAGGTTTCGACGAAGGCGTGTTAGTAGGGGTGGTTGTAGGAGTTGCAGGCCTACAAGAAAATCAAAAATGTATTTTTATTCTTTATAAATAAATTACTAACTTATTGGAAATCTCTGTGCTGGAAATTTTCGCAACAACCTTGTCCATTTGCGTTTGCCAAAACTGTTTATGTTGGGAACTTTGCAGGCCAGTATTAATGGAGAGTACTTTTGGCAAAGACTAGAAAAAAACAATTTTGCAAGTTAATTACAAATTTCCTCCAGTAATATTGTACCTCTATTACTCTACTTTGGGAAGTTGGTGTAAATCTGGCGCAGCCGTCGCACCAAGCAGGCGTGGTTTGTTGGGGGCACAAAGAGCGTCTCAGAATGTCGCAAAAAGTCCATTCGTCTCGCTCAGGTTCGCTGGTGGGATAAACCAAATTGCAAGCCAGCAAAATCGATCCTTTATTAACATCTTCTGCACATTTGAGACAAGAGTGTTTGTGCATTTGTTTTATACCAAATATTTGACTAATATCTGAAACATCTTCGCGCCTTTCTTCTTCGATTTCATTGGATACTTCAGCAGCTGAGAATTTGAAACAAAGATTTTATTGCATATATCGGACATTTAGACAATCCCCCTAACCTGAATGTTTCCTAGTTCGTTCCTTGGATATAGCAGGAAAATCAATTTCCTTATAAATAAACGGCTTATAATTTCTACCTTTTTTCTCCTCGTTCCTTTTCCTTGTCTCGTTGAGTTCCAAGTGCATTTGGTGCAACATGAACCGGTTCCAGCTTTGTATCAGCGCACCCAAATCGGTTTTGTGTTTAGCTTCCGGAGCCAAATCGCTTAGAATTAAGCTCAAAGCTGAAGCTTCGGGTACAGTACGAAAGGCCCTCAAAAAGTTACCAGGTTGACATGGTTGAGAGGGAGGACTATTGGCTAGCATGTGAAACAAAAAACCTAATTCACAAGACAAGCAAAATTCTTTGTTGCACAAGTGGGATAATAAAGCAGCACGTAATGGTTCAATATAATAGAGGACCTATAAAAAAAAAAATAGGATTGGTTGCAATTGTAATTATTAATGAAAATTCTTACTTGTAAAAGGGCATTACAGTAAGCATTAGGCAACACAGCTTCCAATCCGGCAAGGCCCGTTTTATTATAATTATCAAACTGAAATTCGTCGTGTCCTAATTTGTTGTACTTTACATCGACTTTTCTGTATCGTTTTGGAATTGCAATAAAATTGGTTTCGCCTTCTTGGTGTTGCGGGCTTTTGTGTGAGTAGGAGTTTTGGATGTAACCGTTTTGACCTAGTAGGTCATAAGGAACCTAAAATTTAAGAAGTTTTAATACAAGAATTAGAGATAACTATGATTGATACTTACTTATTTTGGATTGAAAAATAATTGTATTGCAAATGCCCCAGAGAAATAATAATTAAAAGGGAAAGTGATGGGTTAGTTGGATTAAAAAACTTCCATTAACAGCCCAAAATTTATTTTTTTGAAGTTTATCACACAAAAAGAAATTGTCCCTTAAATACTACATTATTGTGTTATTTTTGAATAGCCCCAAAATATTAAGAAAAATTATTGCTCACTTGGTTTCTGCGCATATGCTTCGGATTCGGCGCATATCCTATTGGCCCTTGCATCTTCATTGTACGTAAAATTTCCGCATCAATACCTGGAGGTTTCCTACATAGAATTACACCCTTTTAGCCACTCCTTCTTGAATAAGTTTTGCCTATACTCACCTATAAGCATACTGAATCAAATGAGCCGGCCAATCAGAAGCCAGAGAAACGTCAGGCGACACATAAGGCATGGGAATCGAAGACAGTGGTGTGCTGTAATCATCTATGGCAAAACTAGGATACTGAGTTACAGGATCTGGGAATTCAGTCTGCCTGGAATAACTGTTGAAAATCGGCTCTTCTGTGCTTGAAAATAAATGAATCTGGCCACCGCTGTCTCCAAAAGCCATCGCTTGAATCGATGAACTGACGTCAAAAGATAAAACCATAGATGCTGGACATTCGATTTGAAGCAAACATATTTTGGGTTCAGCCAAAGCTATGGTGTCCAAAAGTTGTACTTGTCCAGCAGCAGATACAACCACCAATCTCGAAGTCATTGAAGGCATAAATCTCAAATACAACGGATCAAGTACGGTTTGCATGGGAGATACGCCGCGAAGCATACGCAAATCGTAGGCCTTTAAAAATCTGTCTACAGCCAAACTACCCAACCTAAATTTACAAATTATAATAATTCTGAATTTTTTTGTTTAGGTAATTATTAATTACCTATTGCTAAAGCCGCAAGTAACTAATAAGTTCCCTTGGACATCGAAATCACTTAAACTGCCCGGGTGAGTCTCAATTATATGTTCCATACGTAAACTATTGGGATCTCTGAGTTCTACTGAGCCAGTTGGACTACCACAACACACATAACGGCTATGAGGGCGTAGCATTACAGACCCACCCTCATAGACATCAACCTAAACAATTCATTTTTATAAAAAGCAAAATAAAAATACAATTTTTTTTTTACCACTTGCGTTTCTTTACAAATTTGCAAATTAAAATCTATAAGTTTATCCCTGTGACCTCCAATAAGTAATCTTGAAGGGGACAGTTGGAGCATGCATTGCATGTCGCTCATATTTGAAGACCTATAATTTTTAGTGTCACAAGGCAAAGGATTTCATTTAAAAAAAATTCTTACACATGAGTGTATACAGGAATTCCCCTTCGAATTTGACACCTAAGACTGTTGGCAGTCAATGCCAGTAGGCCTTCGTCCATAGTCAAAATTTGCCTGACTTCTTCGTGAGCGTGAATTTGAAACGAAGTGTATTTCGACATTGACCCTGTGTAGTATGAAGTCACGTGACCCTGAAAATTGTAACAACAATTTTTATTATTATAAACATTTGAAATGAGGTCAGTATGGTGAAGGTTACAAATAAAATATTGTTTTGTTAATTCTTACCCCTTGGTTGCCCATCCATACCAGTTCTTCGTGTCTATCAAAAGTTAAAGAGGACACGCCAAATCTGTCCCCACCATCTGCCAAAAGGCACTGGGTTTGTATGTACTCAGTGTCCATACCTACCAGAGGTGGTTCTGAAGGGCCAACGACTGCTAGCTATGAACACAAAATTGTTTAATTTTTATGTTTATTTGTTGATTTTTCCAAGGTTTGCAGATACTTATAATTATGTATATTGCGACATTGATATGAAATATCCTAGGAAATACTGATACATACGAGGATATTTATTAAGTTGACAAATGAATATCTGGCTTGGTATTCCAGAGACTTCAAAATTCCAAAGGATTTATCAAGTAAACAATAATTATTGTCTTTTTCAGAAAAACAAAATATAAACATAATATTTGAAAATATTCTTCCACAAGTGGAAATGTGTGGGGGAATTTTTGGAAAAGAAGGTTTTAAGAAGAAGTAACAAGTTAAGATAAGTATTTATGTGCAAGTTCTGGGTGTTTCACAATCTCCCTCTTCAACTTATTAATTGAAAATGTCATTAGTGAAGTTCTGGGTTTACTGATGCTTAAAAATTTTAAAAAACTGCTTAGTAGTAGCCAAGGGGTAAACCACCTTGAAAAATATGTACGCCAGAATCCCATTTTCAACAGAATTCCACTGAAGATAAATGAAATTTTGGATTGATGAGTAGAAAGTACATTTCAGGAGTGAATTCTGTTCTACTCATTTTCGAAACTCTGCAGGACGAGCAAAGCGAGTTCCGCAGTAATAAACTCAATAATAAGTCGTTCTGATATAAAAATGAGGAGTTTTTTACTTAATGCATGCAAAAATGTTTAAAATCTGCAAAAATCACTTGTGCAAAGTACTTCTATTGATCACAGTAACTTGAAACTTCCAGGATTCATGAATTGAAGTTTCCTCTTTGTGGAAAAGTTGATTTGAAGCTCCAAATTAAATTTGGGAGCTTTTACTCACATAAATGCATGTGAAAATTATAAAAATCTGCAAAAATCACTTGTGCAAAGCACTTCTATTGATCACAGTAACTTGAAACTTTCAGGATTTATGAATTGAAGTTTCCTTTCTATGGAAAAATTAATTCGAAGTTGATTTGAAGCTTCAAATTAAATTTGGGAGCTTTTTACGTTAATACATGCAAAAATTATTTAAATCTGGAAAGATCACTTGTGCAAAATACCTATATTTTTTACTTCTAATGATCACAGTAACTTGAAACTTTCAGGATTTATCAATTGAAGTTTCTTCTTTGTGGAAAAATTTAATTTGAAGTTGATATGAACCTTCAAACTAAATTTGGGAGCTTTTTCTTACATTAATGCATGCAAAAATGATTAAAATCTGCAAAAATCACTTGTGCAAAGTACTTCTGATCACAGTAACTTGAAACTATCGGGATTTATGAATTGAAGTTTCCTTTTTGTGGAAAAATTAATTTGAAGTTGATTTGAATCTCCAAATTGAATTTGGAACCTCTTTCTCATGTTATTGCATGCAAAAATTATTAAAATCTGCAAAAATCACTTATGCAAAGTACTTCTAATGATCATAGTGACTTGTAACTTTCAGGATTTGTGAATTGAAGTTTCTTCTTTGTGGAAAAGTTAATTTGAAGTTGATTTGAAGCTCCAAACTAAATTTGGAGGCTTTTTCTCACATAAATGCATCTAGAAATGATAAAAATCTGCAAAAATCACTTGTGCAAAGCACTTCTATTGATCACAGTAACTTGAAACTTTCAGGATTTATGAATTGAAGTTTCCTTTCTATGGAAAAATTAATTCGAAGTTGATTTGAAGCTTCAAATTAAATTTGGGAGCTTTTTACGTTAATACATGCAAAAATTATTTAAATCTGGAAAGATCACTTGTGCAAAATACCTATATTTTTTACTTCTAATGATCACAGTAACTTGCAACTTTCAGGATTCATGAATTGAAATTTCCTGTTTGTGAAAAAGGTAATTTGAAGTTGATTTGAAGCTTCAAATTTAATTTGGAAGCTTTCTCATACGTTAATTTTTGAAAATGTTTAAAATCTGCCAACATCACTTGTGCAAAGTATTTCTAATGATTACAGTGACTTGAAACTTTCAGGATTTATCAATTGAAGTTTCTTCTTTGTGGAAAAGTTAATTTGAAGTTGATATGAACCTTCAAACTAAATTTGGGAGCTTTTTCTTACATTAATGCATGCAAAAATGATTAAAATCTGCAAAAATCACTTGTGCAAAGTACTTCTGATCACAGTAACTTGAAACTATCGGGATTTATGAATTGAAGTTTCCTTTTTGTGGAAAAATTAATTTGAAGTTGATTTGAATCTCCAAATTGAATTTGGAACCTCTTTCTCACGTTATTGCATGCAAAAATTATTAAAATCTGTAAAAATCACTTATGCAAAGTACTTCTAATGATCATAGTGACTTGTAACTTTCAGGATTTGTGAATTGAAGTTTCTTCTTTGTGGAAAAGTTAATTTGAAGTTGATTTGAAGCTCCAAATTAAATTTGGAGGCTTTTTCTCACATAAATGCATCTAGAAATGATAAAAATCTGCAAAAATCACTTGTGCAAAGCACTTATATTGATCACAGTAACTTGAAACTTTCAGCATTCATGAATTGAAATTTCCTGTTTGTGAAAAAGGTAATTTGAAGTTGATTTGAAGCTCCAAATTTAATTTGGAAGCTTTCTCATACGTTAATTTTTGAAAATGTTTAAAATCTGCCAACATCACTTGTGCAAAGTATTTCTAATGATTACAGTGACTTGAAACTTTCAGGATTTATCAATTGAAGTTTCTTCTTTGTGGAAAAGTTAATTTGAAGTTGATATGAACCTTCAAACTAAATTTGGGAGCTTTTTCTTACATTAATGCATGCAAAAATGATTAAAATCTGCAAAAATCACTTGTGCAAAGTACTTCTGATCACAGTAACTTGAAACTATCGGGATTTATGAATTGAAGTTTCCTTTTTGTGGAAAAATTAATTTGAAGTTGATTTGAATCTCCAAATTGAATTTGGAACCTCTTTCTCACGTTATTGCATGCAAAAATTATTAAAATCTGTAAAAATCACTTATGCAAAGTACTTCTAATGATCATAGTGACTTGTAACTTTCAGGATTTGTGAATTGAAGTTTCTTCTTTGTGGAAAAGTTAATTTGAAGTTGATTTGAAGCTCCAAATTAAATTTGGAGGCTTTTTCTCACATAAATGCATCTAGAAATGATAAAAATCTGCAAAAATCACTTGTGCAAAGCACTTATATTGATCACAGTAACTTGAAACTTTCAGGATTCATGAATTAAAATTTCCTGTTTGTAAAAAAGGTAATTTGGAGTTGATTTGAAGCTTCAAATTTAATTTGGAAGCTTTCTCATACGTTAATGCATGCAAAAATGTTTAAAATCTGCCAACATCACTTGTGCAAAGTATTTCTCTCGGTATTTCTAATGATCACAGTAACTTGAAACTTCCACGATTCATGAACTGAAGTTCCCTCTTTGAGGAAAAGTTGATTTGAAGCTCCAAATTAAATTTAGAAGCTTTTTCTCACATAAATGCATGTAAAAATGATAAAAATCTGCAAAAATCACTTGTGCAAAGCACTTCTAATGATCACAGTAACTTAAAACTTTCAGGATTTGTGAATTGAAGTTTCCTTTTTGCGGAAAAATTAATTTGAAGTTGATTTGAAGCTTCAAATCAAATTTGGAAGCTTTTTATGTTAATGCATGCAAAAATCATTAAAATCTGCAAAAATCCCAGCAAAAATCACTTGTGTAAAATATTTACTTCGAATGATCACAGCAACTTGAAACTTTCAGGATTCATGAATTGAAATCTCGATTGAAATTTCCTCTTTGTGAAAAATGTAATTTGAGGTTGATTTGAAGTTTCAAATTTAATTTGGAAGCTTTTTCTTACGTTAATGCATGCAAAAATGATTAAAATCTGCAAAAATCACTTGTGCAAAGCACTTCTATTGATCACAGTAACTTGAAACTTTCAGCATTCATGAATTAAAATTTCCTGTTTGTGAAAAGGGTAATTTGGAGTTGATTTGAAGCTTCAAATTTAATTTGGAAGCTTTCTCATACGTTAATGCATGCAAAAATGTTTAAAATCTGCCAACATCACTTGTGCAAAGTATTTCTCTCGGTATTTCTAATGATCACAGTAACTTGAAACTTCCAGGATTCATGAACTGAAGTTCCCTCTTTGAGGAAAAGTTGATTTGAAGCTCCAAATTAAATTTAGAAGCTTTTTCTCACATAAATGCATGTAAAAATGATAAAAATCTGCAAAAATCACTTGTGCAAAGCACTTCTAATGATCACAGTAACTTAAAACTTTCAGGATTTGTGAATTGAAGTTTCCTTTTTGCAGAAAAATTAATTTGAAGTTGATTTGAAGCTTCAAATTTAATTTGGAAGCTTTCTCATACGTTAATGCATGCAAAAATGTTTAAAATCTGCCAACATCACTTGTGCAAAGTATTTCTCTCGGTATTTCTAATGATCACAGTAACTTGAAACTTCCAGGATTCATGAATTGAAATTTCCTGTTTGTGAAAAAGGTAATTTGAAGTTGATTTGAAGCTTCAAATTTAATTTGGAAGCTTTCTCATACGTTAATGCATGCAAAAATGTTTAAAATCTGCCAACATAACTTGTGCAAAGTATTTCTAATGATTACAGTGACTTGAAACTTTCAGGATTTATCAATTGAAGTTTCTTCTTTGTGGAAAAGTTAATTTGAAGTTGATATGAACCTTCAAACTAAATTTGGGAGCTTTTTCTTACATTAATGCATGCAAAAATGATTAAAATCTGCAAAAATCACTTATGCAAAGTACTTCTAATGATCATAGTGACTTGAAACTTTCAGGATTTGTGAATTGAAGTTTCTTCTTTGTGGAAAAGTTAATTTGAAGCTCCAAACTAAATTTGGAGGCTTTTTCTCACATAAATGCATGTAGAAATGATAAAAATCTGCAAAAATCACTTGTGCAAAGCACTTCTATTGATCACAGTAACTTGAAACTTTCAGGATTCATGAATTAAAATTTCCTGTTTGTGAAAAAGGTAATTTGGAGTTGATTTGAAGCTTCAAATTTAATTTGGAAGCTTTCTCATACGTTAATGCATGCAAAAATGTTTAAAATCTGCCAACATCACTTGTGCAAAGTATTTCTCTCGGTATTTCTAATGATCACAGTAACTTGAAACTTCCAGGATTCATGAACTGAAGTTCCCTCTTTGAGGAAAAGTTGATTTGAAGCTCCAAATTAAATTTAGAAGCTTTTTCTCACATAAATGCATGTAAAAATGATAAAAATCTGCAAAAATCACTTGTGCAAAGCACTTCTAATGATCACAGTAACTTAAAACTTTCAGGATTTGTGAATTGAAGTTTCCTTTTTGCAGAAAAATTAATTTGAAGTTGATTTGAAGCTTCAAATCAAATTTGGAAGCTTTTTATGTTAATGCATGCAAAAATCATTAAAATCTGCAAAAATCCCAGCAAAAATCACTTGTGCAAAATATTTACTTCGAATGATCACAGTAACTTGAAACTTTCAGGATTCATGAATTGAAATCTCGATTGAAATTTCCTGTTTGTGAAAAAGGTAATTTGAAGTTGATTTGAAGCTTCAAATTTAATTTGGAAGCTTTCTCATACGTTAATGCATGCAAAAATGTTTAAAATCTGCCAACATCACTTGTGCAAAGTATTTCTCTCGGTATTTCTAATGATCACAGTAACTTGAAACTTCCAGGATTCATGAACTGAAGTTCCCTCTTTGAGGAAAAGTTGATTTGAAGCTCCAAATTAAATTTAGAAGCTTTTTCTCACATAAATGCATGCAAAAATGATTAAAATCTGCAAAAATCACTTGTGCAAATACTTCTAATGATCATAGTGACTTGAAACTTTCAGGATTTGTAAATTGAAGTTTCTTCTTTGTGAAAAAGTTAATTTGAAGATGATTTGAAGCTTCAAATCAAAGTTGCATGAAAAAACTGTGAAGTGCTGACCTGAAATTTAGGGAGTTTTTGAATTAATGAGTGAAAATTCTGAATCAAAAATGAATGCATGATCAAATCAAAAATGGAGTGAATTTCATGAGTAAATTGCTGCGGAACTCGCTCCGCTCGTTCCACAGAAGTTTGTGAGTAATTTTCTCATCGATGAGAAAAATTCTGACCTGGAAATTTTGAGCAGATCTACTCATTTTTGATCCTCTCATCGTTCTGATACTCGTTCTGATATAAAAATCAGGAGTTTCTGAACTACTTCATGAACTACTAAATCTGAAATTCCACTGGAATCCCACATGTTTATACACTATAATTCCAAGGTGGTTTATAATGGTTTAATTAAAAGAAATTTTTTGTAAAGGTAAAAACTGCCTGCTCAAACCCAAACATCACAGTATATTTATTAGATATCCATGGGATAAACTTTGTGGATATCCAGTACATCTAATGGATATTCATGGATATCTTGAAGGCATTTTATGAATATCCAAATCTCCGCTTATATCCAGGAGGATATACATACATAGAGACATTTAGTGGATATCAATTACATTTACATTAGAGATTAACAGGATATCTTATAGAGATTTTCTGGATGTCCAATATCCAGAATATAGAAATTATCATATGGATATTTGAGTCACTTTCTTTAACAAAGGGGGTCTAAGGGTACAACTCTACAGCCCTATCATCTTGTGTGGCAATTTTCCATGTTCTTACATAAACTATGTGATGTGGCCATGAGAAGGGAAATTGTAAAAAGGATGTTAAGGCCTTTTACATAGAAAATAAAATAAGTACTTAGCATATACAGGGCTCAACTTACAAAGCAAGAGTGAGAGCTCCTTTCATATAAAAAGCCTTTTACAGCTGAGTAATTTCCAACGAAAGATACAATATTTTTCTTTATATGGGGAACGAGATGGAGAGTTATAATGGGACAAAAATAGATATTTCCAATTACCAAATACAAAAAGTTGTAACCTGGAAACCTATTTTTTGCCCGCCAATAACACAAAGAACTACTTACCCCAGTGTTGTCAAAATACATTTTGCTTCGAGTACAAAAAGGGGCCAACTCATAAACATAAAAACATTACGTTTTACAATCGAAATAATACAGTATTTATTGAAAAATACAAAATTATTTGTTTTTCTTTTAGATGTTTTGGGTTTGTTGATTTTTAGGCGACTGACTGTGGGACTTGAAATTCTTGGAAATAACAGCTGACGATGATAGTCTGGAGACTAGCGACACCTATGTCAATAATTGCAGATTTCTGTAATTCACATGGACTTATACAGTATAAAATCAAATGTTGAACTTAAATGAGTGAATGTTTATTTATTTTCTAAGCCTCTCTGTATATTTTTAACTTAAAATTTTGTACCATACTTCAATAGTTCAATAATCAACATAGATTTCAACTAGTAGTTACCTCAATACGACGCCAGATGGTGCCACTATTTATTTAAAATTGCAATATGGTAGCCGCAGACTTTAAATAATTCTTGGCGTAAAATGCATTATTCGGGGTTAAAACACTGATGAAGGTCTCAAAAACGAATTCCCAAACGTTAAAAATCTTGTTAAAATCACCTTTTCTTCATTTAAAATCGACAAAAAAATTAATGCACACGCACATCCTGAAACACAAACAATCCATCAAGGTCTGCAGGTGACGCAGCCAGTATCAACTGCTTAGGGTGGTGACGTCACCCGCAGACCTTGCCGATGCGAGAATTGGCGAACGTACGCCTTTTTAGGATGAGCATTCCTTTTAGTTTACGATTCTTACGAACCGAACAATAGTATGCAGGATTTCCATTAGGTACTTAATTGACTATAGATGAAAAATAGTCTTCTGTTATATTTATTTATCTAACAAATGCGAAAAGTGATACTCTTTACCGCATGTTAAGGTTGGTAAAGACAATTTCCGCATGTGTTAGGTACAAAATTTTACCTATGAGCATTTACCGCACACTATGCGGTAAAATGCTACTTTCCACTTGCAAATTAGTGCGGTATAGGTACTTTCTGCACGCTTGTAGGTAAAATCTCTAAAGTAAAAACGGAAAGAAATATAAAAGCACAGGGTAACCATGAGTAGAGTTGATTCCCAACAAAAAAAAAAGGGGATTGGGATTGAGATTTTAATCCCAAAATTTGGTCATCGTAAATTGATTTAATGGGACATTCAGGTAGCAAATCATCCGCTTATTTTATCACTCAAATTGTATCAGGTTGCTCTTGGTTCACCTGCTGAAAGAAAAAAAAAGGCAGTTCGGTGGGATTTTTTTCTTTTTTCCAGGTAAATTTTCCCCTGGGTAAAAGTGACAAAGGATTAGGTATAATTATTGTTGCAGCCCGCATTTAGGCTATTTATAGAATCAATTTTAATTGCTAAAAAAAGGTCCTATTATGATGGTAGGTAACCAGGTGAATTGGTCAATAGGTCTGCCATGTGAGTTAGAAGACAGGTGTTGGTACAAGGTGAACTAGAACCTACTGGGATTTTTTTTTTCAAAAATATATTGGCCATAACGTTTACTGTCTAGACTATTAAATAGTAAAAAAAAATTGCAAGGCATATGTTTCGCCGATGGTATTCATGAGGGTATATAGGACAGTTTTCCAATTAAAACTTTAATAACCCATATACCTAATTTCAGCGGTTTACTGAAAATTGCAAACTGGCGTACCATATGGATGTCTTAGTGTTAGTGGTGTTAACTACATCATATTTAAATAAAAGTAGGCATTTTCTTCTGGAACTTCTTCACGAGGCATTTGACGTAAAATTGCCAAGAGACCTTTTCGGTTTCTTTTCGACTTAAATACATTTTGTGTCACACCATTTTGCATTTCACCCAAAAATTGAGCCAGGTTAAATTATTGGGCTCCTCTTCGACTCAACTTCAAATTAATTGACACAATTTCGTCCGGAAACACCATCATTTTGCCTTCTGTTCCCTCAGTGCACAAGTTCCTATATTTACATTTTTTTTCTTCCTCATATACGCGCACCTGTACGTGCCACAGGGTGTCGCACATGGTCCCCAAATGTAGATAAAAAATGAAAATTAACGATAACTTCAGTAATTTCTTTCCCAAAAACGGCACAGGTGGACCTGAGAAAGGCACCTACCGTCGCGGGTTCACAGGTGCCCGAGGGAGGCATCTGCCCTTGAATAGGGCGGGCAAAAGGTGAGGGCCATCTGTCAGCCTTTTGGAATATCACCTGTAGTAATTTCTTCGGTGGTTAAATTACCGCGAAAACGACGATGGGTAATACGCTAATTATCGAAATAAACGGTCGTTAAATTTACTTCTGGATCTAAAGACACCTTGACCAAAATGTACTTAAGTAATAATAATTATTGATATATCGAGGCGATTTCAGAAAGCGAAGTTAAGTATACCTATATAGCAATCGAATAAATTGGAAAGCTATATGAATTGCAAACATTCATCTCCTTAAATAATATTGTTAACATACACGCATGCTAGAATGAGTTTCCTCTAATTGCCAATACTTCTACCAAAGATCTGGGACAATAGGCAATGATGGATAAAACTATTGAGTCTCTGTTGACTCACTCCAGAAAGGTTGGTGGACAGGTTACTTTTTTATTTTTTACGAGAAAGTAAATGTATATCATGCGTTATATGTTTTGATATGTTTAATGTTGAAGTGTTCTTATGAAGGTGTACCACAGTACCTACAGATTTTGAAAGGAGGAAGGAAAAGGAGATCAAAAACTAATTCCTAAAGATAAATCTTTATCTTGAGTCAACAGACAAGAATATGGAGTTGTTCAACAAAAATAATTTTGTGTGGTCGATCTAACAACAACAAAAAAAACCAACAATCATAATTGTTGCAGCATCATCAACTTACTACCGGCAGCCAGAGCCAGCAGTAAAGTTAAAGTGGCGTCAGACTGGCGCTCCTGCAAGTCGCCTGCTGGCCGGTCGGCACAAATACACGCAGATGTTCGTCGCGGGTTCGCGATTCTGAGAAAATCGCCAACGAGATGTCACACGGGTGCAGAGGCGGTCGCTTGTTGCTGGTCGCACACACTCTATGGCTCTTGTTTATTTCGATTTCGAGTCGCACATATACACACACGGGACGGTTATTATGCAACTCGAGGCGCCAATACGTCGTTATCTATTGTTATTCTTGGACACGTAGGAAGCTGCGATAATGATTGTCATAACCCAAATGCAGCGAAAATTTGAGATTATTTTTAGATAAGTTGAAGTTTTTATTGGACTGATAGAAGTGTTTAATACTTCATCAAGATTGATTTCTAAATATGTAATAAGAAATTTGGACTCCTTAAAAGATTGCTCATATTATGTTTATCCCTCAAACTCAAAAGATTCGGCGATACCTCAGTACCTACTACATATCTTCAAGAATATACGAGATTCTCCATCTGAGTCGCAGAAGCTCTTGTTAATGTTGAGACACTGCTGTAGACACCGACTCGTGTACCAAACTGCCATGTAGCTCACAAATTTTTCAACAAAATCTTGATCAGCCTCAGTGTTTTCAAGCTTGCATTGGTCCTGAATGTTGGCTCAGTTTCAATTCAATTGATGGTAATTTGTGATATAAAATCTATGGATAATAATTGTTGAAATCTGAAAAATAAACTCAATTCGTCATGGACACTGACTGTTCTTGGAATTTATACCTCTATGAAACTTTGTGTTGTCCTACTTTGGAAAACTGTCCATCGTTACTTTTTTTCACAAAAGAAACAAAATGGATTATCGATCCAGATTTCAACGTTGAATCATCTTCCCTATATGAAATTGGTATAAAGAAATTTTTCCTCCGGTATCGGAATATGCAAAAATAGTTCTTAAGATTTACTCAAAATAAAGCTAACCAGCTACAAAAGTACTACCTATCAACCTACCTATATCAGCCTGGTAGGTTGAAATCTCCACAAATGAGAAAACTCTATTTTTGAGTTCAATTCTCTGAATAACAAATTCCTTTGAATTTCATGTTCAAACTTAGATTTTCAGAATTACAAATGGGAAAAGATAAGTTGTCGTATATAACCAAATAATCGTCTAAAACGTGTTTAACGGATTTTTTTTGCCTGATTTATTAGTTTGCTCCAAATTTCTACATTATACGTTGATAAGGTGACCAATAGATAACCCAAGCTGGCGCCTATAGAAGCTGACGCCAACGGCCAGCTGGTCGCCTTGTTGTTTGTAAAATATTATCAATTGCTCAATGTACATTTCTCGTTGAAACCAAAAAATAAAAACGCAATATGGTTTTCTTCTAAAATGAAAGGAATATATAACAATAAACTTCCGAGAAGGTTTAAAATGTAATTTCGATGCCATCTGGAGTTTTCGGTACAGAAAAAATAAATAAAAAAACAACCGCACACATACAGAAACGGAAACACCATCCAGCGAGAAAAGCTGGATAATTGAACTATTTGTTTCATTAAGGAAACAGGAGCGTGCGGTCTTTAAATTTTTATTCCAAAGCATCTGCTACTATTCCTAGTTTTTAATTTTTAGGCAGTTTTACACCTATACATCGGCATTAGGTTAGATTAGGTTTTGGGGTTTGTCCTTCAACTATATAGAGCTTGCACTCAATAGTTCATTGTGATCTTTTCTTCAGGGTGGTTCTCTCCCAAATCTCTAACATGTTCCTGTTCCTTTCTTCGTTTTGTGCCAATGTATGGTTTTTACAAAGTTTAGTATTTCCATGCATTGTCCCTATCTTCCCGCGTCTTCTCGAATGCTGATTCCATGATTTCACTGATGGTTGCTAAGCTGGAGTCCGTCACCAGTACTACATCGTCACCATACGCAATTAATTTTGTCCTCCTTTCTCTTAAGGTTTCTAGAATCACATTGATTACCAACAGCCACAAGAGTAGAGTATCACTCCTCCTAGTGATTTTGATATTATCGGTGTCCTATCTCAAACTACTTCTCTATGGTTCCTCTATACCCTATACTATATATACCCTATACTATGTATACCCTAGCATTTTTTGAGCAGTTGAGAAGGGACACCCTGTATCAGAGCTGAGCCAAGTACTCAGCAAATGTACTTGAAGTATTAAGTATTGAATATTTCAAATATACTTACAGTATTAAGTACAATATTTTTCTAATGTACTTAAAGTATTAAGTATTATACTGGAAGTAAAAAAAAAAACAGTATA